CTGCCATGGACGTCCATGCTGTGATACAATGGAGGTATGGCTCACTGTATAATGAACCCCCCTCATATATGTGGCAAGGTAAGCAGATTTTAAGACAAAAACAATGATCGACGCGTGGGCGGAAAGTCTCATGCTGTTCCCCATCTTCTGGAGAACACTTCACAGTTAATGGCAGGATATAACATGCCAAGTGAAGAACACTATTTCCCTCTGCCAGTACTTGAAGAGAGCCCTTCACACCTCTTATTGTTGATGATTTACGAGAGGAAGGTTGCGTTTCTGGCATAGCAGACAGTTAACAACAGGCCTGCTGAACACATAACAACAGAGCTGTGAAACTTGTCTTACAGAATTAACATCTGACAAACAGGTATAGAAGCAGCTGTGATAGCATCAACAATGAAGACGGCCTGGATGCAGTCACAGAGGAGGACAACTGGAGCAGGGAAATGGTCTAACAGGTGACAAGCAAGCCGAGGTCTCACATTAAAACCACATGGTATTCTGAATCAATAGCATTGAACTGAACTTCATGATTGAAAAAACCTTTGTCAAGAAACATGAATGGCATTATTTCAAATCCAATTCATAACTTGTTTAAAAAGTCTGAAGCTGAACTCATTCAGAAACTACAAATATTTACCTCCGTTGTCTTCATGCGTGCGTCTTACACTAATCCATGAATAGTTCCGGCCAACTATGTCAGTATATGCAGAGTAGCAATAAACGGTAGAGATTCAACCGATACCTCCCTGTTGGGACGAAGATTCTTAGATGTTCGGTGATGGGTAAAGATGGTTGGTTCTAATACTTGTCCGAATGCCAGCTGCCAGGCCAAAAACACGTGAAGCAGAGCTGTACCGTTCCACCAGTATTATCAAACCGGCTGATGTGAATCCCACTAATAGTCTCACAGTTTGAAATACTATCTGCACGATGGGTAGGAAAGGCTTTCAAGCAATTGCCGGCACTCTGTAAACCTGTCGTGGGTCTATGAAGTTTTTATGATGGCATAAAAAGATGTTTTGTGAGTAGAGCCTCTAGCAACATCAATCATGTCTAAATATCTGGGCAAAGATATGTTTTGTTTACAGACTGTAGGTCTCAAAATATACTCATGGACAGTGTATGAAACAATGCGGTTAATGTAGTTTAATCTTGAAATACATCTCAGCCTATTTTAGATAAAGTGTGAGTGAGTGAGTTTAGTTTTACGCCACACTCAGCAATATTCCAGCTATATGGCGGCGGTCTGTAAATAATCGAGTCTGGAAAGGACAATCCAGTGATCAACAGCATAAGCATTGATCTGCACAACTGGGAACCGATGACATGTCAACCAAGTCAGCGAGCCTGACCACCCGATCCCGATAGTCACCTCTTACAACAAGCATGGGTTACTGAAGATCAATTCTAACCGGGATCTTCACAGGTGTTTTAAATAACGAGAACATACCATCAACACTAACATAACCGTAGAGATGACATGATACCTTTACATATTTTATTTTTACTGTGTTCAATTGTGTTTCATAGTAAACCAGGTTGGTGATCCCAATAATAAAAACTTCACAAATTAAATGAACACGAGCATTAATCATCATAATCGATGAAAGTTCATATGCTGTGAAGTGTAACAAACGATATTTTCTATATTTTATCACTGATGCAGACTAAACAAGAAATGACTGAGTGTTCGACAGGAACACCTGGCATCTAGACAGGAAAATGTTATGACTTCATGTCAATGTTATGACTGCTGTCAACACTGATAAGAAGTGCAGGTGGCCTTTTCTTAACATCTGCACAAATCCAAAATTGTATAACTTTAAAAGCATTTTATCCTGTAAACAAATATAGGAAATGGTAGTACTGTTTCGGGGCCACATATATCAAATGAAATTCTTATGAAAATTATCAGACATGTTCATATGAATAAGTACTAGAATTCCTCTACTTCAAAGATACACTTAGTTATAAATTATCTATAGAAGTTGGATGTCTTTTGAAATTGATGTTGTCGATGGCTGAACCATTAACCTTGATCTCTTTGGGCAGATGCTCAACTAGACCAAGAAGATAGTCCCCTCACAACAGATACTACCACTAGGCTGTCAAAACTCTTTGAAATTCAAACGAAACAGTATAATCTCAACTGATTAAACATTTTTGAGTTGATTTACTTACCCTAAGACAAAGGAGAGGATTTATCACAGCTCCGTAAATGACCATCCCACAAGAAATATCTGACCAACTGACCACGTACCAAATGTCCTGAGCAGGACGACTAAGCCGCTCAGTGACCAGGCTTTCAATAAGCAATCACTCTGTCCCTGTGGACAGTCCATACTTCAATTATACCTGACCGATCATGATATTCCATAAATAGAGATACTACTCACACGACAGCCATTACTGAACAGAACCATACTAGCAATATCGAGACAGTCGGCGCTATCAAATCACAGGAAGGTTATATTGTCCGGGCAAGCAATACCAAATTCTACTCAGGAAGAGAGTGGCATTAACCCGATAAAAGAAATAATTCCACAAGTCCAATGGGACAAGGATATCGGAACCTGTTCCGGGAATTCACCTTTGTGCACTTTCTCAGTTCTTTGATCCTTGTCAACCTCCACCCACTGAGGCCCCTGTCAACTACATGTATTTTTCAATACTACTTGGGAACAAATTAAAGGTTTCTTGGTATGATCGACCAGAATAAACTCTGGTGAAAGGGCTGACCTTTACGGACAATCCACTGTCAGTGCTGCACGGGTTGAACATAACATTCTGCACCGAGCCGTTGTTTCGCCGCATGCGATTCCCTTCACTAAACCCTCTAAAATACACCATCCTCTCAACACAATCAACATGGTCCTATTTATAGATCCATTAACAGTGCAATGACAATTGATTTCCCAGTATGCACTAATATAAGTTACATTGAAACTTCCAGCGTAGGATGGGTCACTATGGATAATAACTGTCAAGAATATTCTTCCCAGGTAATGTTATGATGTCAACAATATAAAAGCCTGATTTACTACTGAAAGGTTAACACTTAGAGAATACTTGTTGCTCCACAGCAAGGGTATCTGATCAATCATTGATCATCAATCAATCATCTGTACATCGCTAGTGTTCTCCCCAGAAATTATACATAAGGTTTGGTGCGCCTGATGCTCTCGGCAGATACCTGGTCCAGGTAGCTGTACAAACTGTCGAACTCTATTACCTGTACCTGAGCAGTTTCATAAATTTACAGATAGCATCCAAGTCATTATAATAAATGAAAATAGTTAGTCAAGGCTACAAATTATTGCCGAACACAAGCAGCTATTGTCGCTAGTCTGTGAAATATCACTGTAACAAAGTTTGCTGCACATCTGAGCGACAGTAGAGAGTACAGAGTACATAATATACAGAAACGGAACAGTCGAAATTGTTTCTCTCACTACCTTAGCATTGATCTTGATTATAGTTCAACCTTATTTTCCACATCAAGTTTGTGATTTAATTTGCTGGAGCATGTTAATATATGATGGAAGATGATATATGAATATCTAAATAATGCAAACATACTCAGGCAAATTAATCACTTGGATGACAGAACAGCTTCTGGGGCACAATCAATTTGCACAACACAAATCCTGATGATCCATGGATGCCAAAGAGTCTGGTATCTGATGCTGGGGTGGTGACTGGGTACTTGTTAGTAATAGTATGCACTGTTATTCTATATTTCCTGCTCAGAGTTTAGACATTCCTACTGCTTACAACCGTGAACAGCCAAACCACACGACAAGTGAATTACCGATGGGAAGTGAATCTAAGTTTTCAGGACAAAATGACACACAATAATCGGCTTTAAATGTGGGGTCAAAGGTGCTAATCCAATAGCCCTTAATAATTATGAATCAGTATATCTTAGAGTGCTTGGTGTTCGGATCACAAAGCCTGATCTTGACACCTGACCTAGGTACACAAACCGAGGGGCACGAATTATGTCCCAGGTATGCATACACACTGACTCATCACAAAGTAGGTCACATTTACGGAAATACCCCACAACATACTGCGAACGTGTACCAGTGTCTGACAACTACATTAAAGTGACATTATAGCGAGCACGAGGGACAACCTGTACTCTTCTCACTGGGTCAATGCATCTTGTCAATACAATCACACATGCAGGTTCATGCTCCTGAGTCAAAGCCACAGGCTTTCCCAGGCCATCAGCTCAAACACTGCCGGCAATCAACAACAATGGAGCAGCTTTTTGAAGCGTAGGATGAACTAGTAAACACATTATGTTCCCATGACTAGACATTAAATTACAGGTGAGGCCTGTTGACAATTGTCAATGTAAGCACTTCTCCATAGATACATCTCCATAGATACATGTACTGTGTGGACAAGCCTGATCATATCCACATTGTTGGGAAACTATGTATACAAACTACTATGGTTGAGGCAGACTAAATACTTAAATGTCTCCATCAAGAAGATGGGCGTTAGGTATGCCCACAATAAAAACTGAATGTACTTAACATTTCTGTTGTTGACTAGATTGGGTTTGCTGGGACGTGGAAAGTGGTACATCTGCATGGTTGTTTAAACCTTTTCTATTTCTAACAATACAAGGAATGTATGAATTTGGAGTTTCATGTCTTATAATTGTTCAGTATTGTCCTACTTGGGACAAAAGTAATAGCACAATAGATAAAAATATCAGAGTTCGACAGAGTTCATGTAGTCTTCAAGGGTTGCTTGGAATCTAGGGACTTGCTGAAACATTAATGTCATTAAAAAGGTGACATGGAGTTGTGATACACTCCACTTTCAAATGACATTCCACAAAACACATTTCAGCCTAAAACAGTCCTTGTCTAGATACTCAAATTAAAAAAAGAGACCCCTCCGCCCCGAAAAACATCCCCAGTTATGAGTCGGCAAGATGCAACTAACTAAAACAATGTGGGCAATGTTGTACTTACATCAGCGAAGGAAGACTGTGGCGTGACATAACACTCCCCGCTGCTGTCGCTCTCCAGGGACTTGACCATGGACTTGCCCGGGTCGTCCGGGGTCAGGATGCGGTGTGGTATATTCATCTTACACACCTCGCACCTGCAGACAAACAACAAACACATTAGATGGTTACTGGTGTGGGATGGTTAGTGGTTACACAGAGGTATGGATACTAGCTACTCACAGCTACTCCATACTCTCAAAAGATGGCTACTGGTTACTTTTGAGGAAAATCAATACAGTAAATGTGGATTGTCATCCATGTTACTGTCAAATGTACTGAGTACAATTTAAGTAAACATAAGACAAGCATAAGATACTCCACTCCAAAATACAGGATATAAATGTCTAGCCCTGTTGGTACTCGTGGCATTTTTGAAGGTTGAGTATGGTTTTACACTGCTTTTAGCAATATTCCAGCAATATCACAGCATTGACTAGCACTGGACACCAGAAATGGGCTTCACACATTGTACCCATGTGGGGAATCGAACCCGGGTCTTCAGCGTGATGAGCGAAAGCTTTAACCACAAGGCTACCCAACCCACCCCATCGAATAAGAGTTTATGAGAAAATCACAACAAGTCTAATGAATTATACATTCAGATCACAATTATGACACATGTGACATTTCAGTATCATTAGACTTGCATTTCTGAAGGAAGTTCGTGAAGGAAATCAACACATACAAAAATAGAACGGCGTGGTAAAAGCATATGTGGTATTACAAACTGACAGTCTGGTAAAATGGTAGATAATTCGATAAAATAATCAACATCAACCTGTCTAGCCAGACAATACTGGCAACTAAATACCAGGAGGCCGGGATCACCTGAAATCCCAGTCGAACCGAACCCTCGTCCAGCCAGACGGACATTACAACACCATCACCTAGAACACTGGACGTACTCACATCCTGACATACATCGTGTCTTGAATATCAGGCAGCTCCAGGTAAAACCAACAAGATGAGAACACCTCGTTCCCCCATTGCGACTACCGATCAATTCATCGCCGATATAAAACTGCAACAACTCAGCTAAATTCCCCAGCGTTGGCGTCTATTTTGAGCCCAGCTCATCCTAGCCTAGGTATATCATTACAATGCTGGCAGCAGAGAGTTCTCTCGCAGTATACCAGCGACTGCAACCTTATCGTGGATTAGGAAACACTACACCATCTGATTTATTGGCTCAAATTATTCAAAATGACCTGTGATTTTGTGGCCTAAGATTGCTTTTGATAGCTCTACACACTTGAGGATCTGAGACCGAAACTGATTTATTTGTTTGGGCATGAGACAGGTCTCAATGTGGATGGTTTATGGAGACGGCAGAGGGCACATGATATTACATTTATTGTATTCACCTTTGAAAACAGAGTGACATAATGACATGAGCTCACAAAGTGAATAGTTTACCTGTGACAAGGTACGACAGATATTTACGACCTGGCATTACTGCATTAGTTTAGGCTGGTCCCGGTCAGGGCAATCTGGACTGGTGGATCTGGCTAGTTATTGACAGGTCATATCAGGCCGTGGAATAATCCTGGTTATTCAATACACCACCCACCTTTGTTTACCACTGTGGAGCAGCGTCACAAGGTGACCAGTGGTCACTGGATCAATGCCTTCCTCAACAGTGAGACATCTTTAGAAGCATCACAGTAATATCATGTGTCTCGCCATTGTTGTATCAACAAACAGTGACGTACAAGGCTCACACAAACTGTCAATGTTTTCTTTGTTATAATCATTCCATCACTCTATGTAATTAGTGTTTTCAACAAGTGATCCTTCGTTACTTAACAAATGTGCAAAGCAAAAAATTATTAAACAAAACATTAGTATTACAATTATTTTTCTAAAATCCAAAGAATTTTTTCATTTGTCGGTATAGTAAACATGTACTATAGAATTACCTCATTACTATTTCAATCAAGAGTGACAATAACTAAACACTTTGATACGTTTCGGGACTGTATATCTGACTAAAGGTGGAAGAGAAACATAAACCAACACATCCTACGAAGTGGGTCGATATTAACAAACCATCAAGAGCTGAAAATGGGCCATGTTACTCCTGTTCACTGTCTCCCTACGACCATGATGAGAGTCTCCGGTATGATGCATGGCAGCGAGTGCTATGAGCTCCGTAGATCAATGTCCCTGGCATGTTCCAGCAAATTAGCACTTATGTTGTAACCACACAGGGCACAGCTGATACAACAGAGGCTGTCGTAGGTCACAGATCCACTGAACAGTGAGTGAGGCGTTTAGCCACATCGGCAAAGTTTCAGTCATATCAAAATGTTATGCTTAAGAAATGTGGCATATGACTTTATGGATAACATGCTTCATCTTATATTCACCAACTTCTAGAATGTCGTTCAAAACAAATTGTATTTATACATTATTAGTACCTGTCTACAAAGAACATTAAAATAACAATACTTCTCTCAATTTACTACCATAATACTAGCATACATAACACAACATGGCATCATAAAATGGACTCCAACAACCCAGCAAGGCCAACATGTCAGGAACCATGGCAACTTCAGTACCTTTACTGCCTGCACAGTTATCAGGATTGACACCGTCGATCCACAGAAGAATTGGTAATCAGACCACCAACTCTGCTGTGATACAATAACATCTAAGGCCATGTTACCACTACAGATCTTACACCATTAACATGATTGTTTAAACCCTTTTCTCATACTCCTACAACCACTAAAGATCTTTTGCCCTCATAGTAATTGCTGATATTATCCAGTTCAGAGTTCTCTCAATTAATGAGTTTCAACTTTTGGCACCGACTGTTTCAACTTTTGGCGCGAGATTTCAACTATTCACACCTCAGGTTAAGGGGGATTTGGACACAAGGTCAATAAAATTAAGTTTAAAATTTAACACATTTTAAATAAAACATATAATTAAAATGGCCTCTCCCTACAGCATGACAGTAAGAACATATAGGGGTTTTGTCTCCTGCACACCTTGCTGGTCAAACTGACCTGGGACATACCCAGGCAGGTTAAAGTGTTCCTTAGAACAGACAGGAGCTACTTGTGTGTGTATGCAACAAGATTAAAGGCATGCTTGAACCAGACATGGAGTCAATATAAATTCTTCTTCCTTCCAGTTAGAACAAACAGGCTTTAAGAGATGCTGCTGCTGCTGCAGGCTTATCATCTTCATCCTCAAATCAGAATCACTGGATTACACATCAGGATTACTTTAATGACAAAAACTCCTCTCTTTAATCTTCATGTAAACAAACTGTTAGTCAGCTAATGCAGATTTCAAATAAACTTGTGTGGATTCTCAGTTGTGATTTTCAAGTTTACACTGTTAAATTGGGACTGTTGTGTCTGTTTCTAACCATATCCTACAGTTAGTCTTTAAATTAGCAGTACACATTAAAGTTTCTAGGGCATCTGTCCTGCCCCACAACGAAGCACATGTGATACATGTGGTCTTACCTTAGGCAAGTAGGTTTGTTCAAAATTGCCTCTGTTCACCCAGCAGAAAATGGGTACCCGGTGGGATAAGTCATGTGACTATCAACCTTCTAGCGCCTCACAGGCAGCTTGGGTTATCCGGGGTAATAATAATAATCAGATTCTGATTACAGCGTCCAGTGAGCAACTAGTCAGATGGATACAAGGCACTATATAAATGTATTTTTATTATTATTGCCCTGAAGCAAATGAATAATGAAGTAATACATGTTTAACATGCTTACCACTACAACAAGGGGATGTGCTAAAATATATACTGTTATCTACATGCTTCTGTGCTTGAAGCTGCTTGTACTAGTCTGAACTTAGGCTTGTTTTATAGTCGTAAACAACATGGCATAAGTCTTATCCCTAAATGATGAACACAGGCGAGGAAGCAATGAAAGGCAAACCGATCTGGACCGAGGCTGGCCTAAGGTTTGGGCTGACACCAATTCTAAGACACCTATGTTACAGTCTTTTCTGTGAAAACAATGTTTTTATTTTCATGGAAATCTTCCAGCAGAAAAGATCAACCAAGGTAAAAAGAATTTCCCATCATCCTGGATCTCATCCAATGCTTCCCATTCAAAGAATTAGTTCTGCAAATTTAATTTCAGTGTGCTGGCAGATTTGTTTAAATGATTAGACGGTTTCACTTTTTCTGCTTCACCTCTAAATAGTCTAAATGAAGATGGAGCTTATTTTAGTTTTCCGACAATATTTTTTCAGTCTAACCATTTAAAAGAACATGAAAATTGTAAACATTTCATGAAGTCGTTCCGCAAAACAGAAACTGATGATCCAGATATAATGAAGGCAAAGGAAAACTCATATACCTGTCTCCCTGTTCCTTAGTGTAAATGTATGTGTAATAGCTTGAGTAATGTAGGGAAACAGCATTAAGTCATTAACAGAGAGTCAGTGTTGCTGTGTTAGTAAGTACACACGGAAGTCCCAAAGTGTTGTTCTATATTCACTCCATCAGGTAACCAGGAGTAGACAGTGTTGGACATTCATACTATTTAGGTGACCGGGAGTCGACAGTGTTGTACACTGATAGTATTTAGATGACCAGTGGAGGACAGTGTTGCACACTGATATTGTTTAGATGATATTTAGTGGACAGTGTTGTACATCGATACTATTTAGGTGACCAGCTGTGGACAGTGTTGCACATTGAGACTATTTAGATGATATTTAGTGGACAGTGTTGTACATCGATACTATTTAGGTGACCAGCTGTGGACAGTGTTGCACATTGAGACTATTTAGATGATATTTAGTGGACAGTGTTGTACATCGATACTATTTAGGTGACCAGAAGTGGACAGTGTTGTACATCGATACTATTTAGGTGACCGGTAGTGGACAGTGTTGCACACTGATACTATTTAGATGATATTTAGTGGACAGTGTTGTACATTGATACTATTTAGGTGACCAGAAGTGGACAGTGTTGTACATCGATACTATTTAGGTGACCGGTAGTGGACAGTGTTGTACATCGATACTATTTAGGTGACCGGTAGTGGACAGTGTTGTACATCGATACTATTTAGGTGACCGGAAGTGGACAGTGTTGTATATTGATGACCAGTGACCAGTCAGCATCAGTGTCCATCTTTCTCTTTCAAAAAGCCAATCCTAGGACCACAACTCCTCCGTTCATGAGTTTCCCAGGCTCCACCCACACTATTCCCCTGGTTGGCCCACATCATCAGCAGGGCTGCATCACTGGTGGGCGGGCAACCTAAAACCTCCGCCCTGTTTCAATGGAAGGGTTGAAAGGTCACAGAGCATGTGCGTCAGTGTAGTAACACACGTAGGGTGAACTATGCACTTATGTCACACCAGGAACGGCTACTAGGCGACACATGTACATTACGAAATATTAAAAGCTTCAATTTAACAAAAAGCAGCATTGGGTGGGGCTAATAAGGCAAAGAAAACAGAATGTTTTCAGACATTTTAATCAATCTAAATCCCTGGCAATTTGGATAAATTGCTAATTTTCAACAACAAAAATCAGCATAAAAAGAAATTAAATCTGTCTTCAATATGTAGTAAAACAGCAATAACCATGAATCTGTTCAAAATCCTAGTTTCAGTTTGTTAATCGTAATGTTTATGTTATGATGTATTACAGCTACAATAAAGGGGGAGAACTCATGGTTCGTAAGCTGGACAGGAGCAAAGTCTGGTCTGATAAGGCTGTGCACCTGTCATTAACTGACAAAAGTAGTTTGAATATTTGAAACTATGCTGATTCACTCGGCACTTCAGGATAGGTGTTCACTCTCGGACATTGTGTTGCAGTAACATGTTACCCCAGCTTGATGTAGGAAGCAATAAGGAGAAATCCAGTTTACGCAGGTCTAAAACATTACCTACTTTTCAGTCAATATACTTTCCTGTTCATATTCAAACTTTTTCACAGATATGCAGATCAAAATGATAAAAAACACACCAGCCCCTATACAATGATGCCAGACAGGAGACCGGGTAATCATGGCAAGAGAATAATCTTATAGATTTTCAAAGTCAAATCTCAGTTCCCGTGGGAAATCATTGGAAACATAAAACACAGAAAAGTAATGAAGTTTACCTTGACATAAGCGCGCCATCAGGGTTATCGATATTCATGTCCTGGATATTCATATCTTGTCAAACAGATACTCAATGGATCAACTGTAAAGGCTGTCTGCCGAACACCTCTAGAATCGTCTTTAGATGTAGCTCGACGATTTACAGAAGAGTCACCCAACACGCACTTACTGTGAATGAGCTCTCACACACAGCTCAAATCACCAATGTCCAAAACCCCTTCTAAGTCGTAGCTGGGTTAGTTGCTAACTAGACTAATCTTGTTCTGTAAACAACCTGTTATAAGTTGGGGTCAGCGACAGTTGTTTGGTTTTCTCATGATATAAGTAGCTGACTGTGACCTGACATGCTGGAATCTAACTTGGGACAATCACCTGTTGATTTAAGACTGGCCATTAAGTGCCTACACAGGTAAGTATCTGGGTCAGTTCTCCGGGAACTGGGTCTTTCCCAGTCTCCAATGTCAGGATCAATATAGAAACAAGTCATGGCTATTTATAATTTATCAGTGACGTAACTTCGACAGGTATGTTGGCGGATGATGTGGGTTTAAAAGTAAACACAACTCCTAGTTCGGTGGTTACCTTGAAAACTGCATCAAATTGCTGAGATATCTCGTTGCATGCAGTGGGTGGGTGATCATTGAGTCATCAACTACAGCCCAGAACTCATCAGAACTAATTGTCAGGAGCAGAAACTTGGTGCCCGGTGCTTCGTGTTCATGCCATATCAGAACTTTCACATAATCAGCTTGGCCAAGTAAACACCGTTGACTTGAATAATCTACACAAGCACTCTAGTCCAGCAATGGTTGGAGACATCAGAAAAGGGCTCACACAATGTACCCATGTGGGGAATCAAACCATTTTTTGGTGACAAGCTAACACTTCCACCACTAAGCTACCCTAGGCCCCACCAAGTAACCACCGAGTCTGGTATGGGGTACTGATGATCATTGTGACATAAGAGTGTGAGTGTGAGTGAGTTGAGTTTTACGCCACTTTTAGCAAAGTTTCCTGCAATATCACGGCCGGTGACACCAGAAATGGGCTTCACACATTGTACCCATGTGTGGAAATCAAACCCGGGTCTTCAGTGTGACAAGCGAACGCTTCAACCACTAGGCTACCCCACCAACCCTGTGACACAAGATCATCACAAGGCTGGTGGCTGATATCATGAGCATCAAATGTCAGTAGTAAGGAAAAGTGGCACATACAAGATGCCATTAAGAGTGAGTTTTGAAAATATCTACAAATCTGGAAAATCCAGAGTCTTCAAGAAAGGACAAATAATCCAGAACATATCAAAGTATTTCAAAACTTTCTTGTTTGCAACAGAACAGAACAATGTTTTGGCAATAACCTTTTTGACCTAAGGTACAGTGACCGTCAATCGTTGGGACTGCAGACACAATCTCTGAGCCCACTCTCAGACATCTCCAATGCTGCCAATGTAATCTACATCCAATATATCATAATCTCATCCTATTAAGCTCACACTTATCACTGATTAATAGCATTCAGACATCATGCAGTCAGGCACAGAAAGACGACAATGCCCAATGTCACTGACCATGCCCCAACTGGATTAAAGCCAAGTCTGGTTTGTTGACCACAAGATTATCCATTCATGGAGGAAATGTCATGCAAGCAGATGGAATGCATAAGCTTTCATTCACCTAAAAATATTTGCTGTCACAGAAATCATTGGTATATATGAGGGTGCATCACAACTTTGTGACTAGGAGGCACAGCCATATACTTGCACAAGTCTCTAAGCCTTCGTTATTGGTTTAAATCAGAATTTCTAGAATTCATGAATAATAAGAACAAGCTTTCTCTATGAAAGACTGGCATTGATTAAGCGGTTATCTAGACTTGCTTTGAAAGAATTACTACACACATGTGTTAAACATTCAGTACAGCAATGGAACAAGTGGTTGTGGTAGTAGTGGTGGTAGTTGCAGTTGTGGTAGTGGTGATGGTAGTAGCAGTTGTAGTGGTGGTGATGGTGGTAGTAGTAGTAGTAATAACAGTGGTGGTATAATGACATACTGAAGGCTGGAGGCTGGAGCTACCCAAAGGATGTCTCCTTCCACAACAGACACCTATATTCTGGCTCCTCAATCCTGGGGGGATCCAGGACAGACAGGATTATTTCCTGGCCACTTTATACAGCCAGAACTGTGCCTGCATCAAATCAGTCAACTCCATCACTGTCTGTCCAATAAGCACTTCCGTTACAAATGAACTGTAATTTGATCATTCTATGGCCCCCAAAGAATTCTAGCCAAGAAACAACTGACATCTTTGTGCATTACATCAAATTGTCAATTTGTATCCAAACTTGTATTAAACACAGTATGCTCTGTCCAAACTAAGAGTTTTGTTAATTCTTATATATTTATTAAACTCATGCATGCAGAAAAAGGTTATTGTAAAGCACTATTAGTATGTCTATTAATGTCAATCACAGTCGTGACCTTTCCTTGATAGTAATAAATCAGTAATTGAACGCTGATTATACCAATAAAGCTATCAACAACTATATATTAATCAAGGTAGCATGCTGTTACTGACATCACCTACTTAAGATGTCCAATCACATTAAGGTCAGCGGTCAATAGGGGCAAGCAACAGGTCAAGCTCTGCTGACCAGCACATGACCGGACAGTAAACAACCCCTCTGACCAACATCACCTCATATACAAGCTATTAACCTCAATCTGGTCACTCATTTCTATAACAGTAGCTAGGGCAGCTGTTGCATATTCTTGATGAAACATTTTTAGTTAGCTAAGAAAATAATGTCAAATAAAATGTTTACACGACAGTAAAGAAATCAAGTCAGTTTTATGATCACTGAAATCTATATACTAATACTCACTTCATCAGAAAGTTCAGCGTCACTGACAATTGGTTCCACATTTGAGAAACAAAATCCAAATCAAAGATGTGACTAATTCAGTGAAATTCAGAAACATCCCAACACTCCTTTGAACACAATCAGAACTGACCAATGTATAAAACTTCTCCTAGTCAATGTATTTTGACCTGTCAGCCTGACAATGGACGGCTATAGAAGGTGTGTCTGTGTGTGGCAGGTACCGGCCATCATTGTCCACACTTGACCACCAGGACGTGCTCACAGGTGATCAGCTAATCTCCTCAACACAAGCACTCAGTCTACTAACTGTGATATTCTCAGGCAGCTGGAAATGCTTCCCATGGCGAAATTCACTACTGTTCCTGAATGAAAAACTTCACTGATATTCTTTTCAGAGATTATGCAATTCATGATGTGTTTGCATGAGTTAATATATTTGTAAATCATACACTGTATCCCTCACTCATAAAGGAAGCCTTTCACAATACGATCATTTAACTCCCATACTTTGAAATAGGCGTACAATGGTTGTAGTGGTGAGATCCAAGAGAACCTGTAAATTGAGCCCATCATTACTCAGGTGATGCTGCATTGTGCAGGCATTTACTACACAGTGAACCTCAGCTCAGTTGCTGACAAATCTGGTTCACAATGAGCACAAACTCATGATCATAGGATCATAAAGGGAGGAAACTCCAATACCAACTTGGCAACCAGTGTCTCTTCAAGTACCAGGCCTACCGAAGAACACTTTCCCACTGTGCAGAAAAGCCCACATTAGTTGTGGAAATAGCAACATAAACATAATATCTGGCTACTGAAACAGTATAAATGGCAACGAAAAACTATGAAACTGCAACATTTTTGTATCGGCACACTTTGACCTGTACTGCACATGCGCATTACAATCCGTGCTTCTTTCAAATTTCCGAGCGACCTTGAATTGCCACGTGTAGAAAAAGAATTGAATAGGTCGAAATAATTGCTGTCAATCATTTCATACGAATGGAAAGTAAACTAAACAAATGTGATGATAAATGCCAAATAACACAACAGAAAATACTTAAAAAGGGAATGTAACTTTTGTCCAAGCTGGAAAATGTCAACATTCGGTCCGAGAATTCCTCTTCCATGTGTGCATGTGTACAATCAAAGTTGCAGGCTCTTCGGGTTTTTTATCCAGTTTTAGCGATTTAAAGTTGCCGCTTTTACTGTTTCAGTAATGAGGTATTATGTTTATGTTGCTATTTCCATGATTAATGTGAGCTTGTCTGTGTTTTTCTGCACACTGGGAAAGTTTTCTTTGGTAGGCCTGAAGTACTGTCTGTACCCTGTCATCTCCATCTGAAGAACTACTGACCAATATGTGACAGCTACACTAATGCTAAAGATATCTAGACTTGCTTCATTTAGGGCCTTACCAGAAGGGGGTAAGTCAGTAGGGAAAATAATGTGGTTCAGGGACTGTGAGTTCAGGGGACTGAATGTGGTTCAGGGACTGTGTGACAGCCAGTACGATCAACTCCTGTTGGATCTAGGTTAATGGCAATCACAATCATCTTACCTTACCCAGAGTCACAGCCTCACTATCAAACACCAACCAATTAGCTACAGACGCAAGCTGACCGCACTATTTCTTGATCAGGATTATTACAGAAAGGAAGGAGCAGGGTGGTAGCAGGATTACCAAATGAAAGCAAAACTGGTGGATTCCAGTAGTACTACACTGGAAGGACAATGAACAATAGTTACATGTGGGTTATCTGCATGTGTACTAGATCTGTCTCCATGTTAATGGGTAGTGGTCAAGAGTAGCCGTACGTGTCCACTCATCAGCAGGACGTGATGTTCACTGGGCCTAGAGGGTCACACCAATGTGATCAGAGAACCTAGTGTCCAAGTTATGGGGCTATCTGGGAATGGGGCCCGTGTGTCTCCGACACAAGTGTTGGACAAAACTCCAAAACGAAAATTCCCCACATAGTCAATCCCCCCCCTCTCCCTTGACCATCCACCTATACACAGAATGTAGAACAATAAGAACTTCATGAACCTGTATGTAATGGTTCCATCACACCCTAAATCTGCCACTGTCACTGAGTTACTGATGGGAATTGTCCATTTATTGGAAAAGAAATATCTGTCCCCTAAAAGTTGAATTTTCTGAGACTCAAATTTTTCACAAGATCACAAAAGCATTCTCAGTGTCCTCTGATTAAGAAAAATGTGTATGATTTATACAGTTTTCACCCATGAATTCACCACAACTATGATAAAATTTACAACTACCCAACAATCACATCATGGCGTATGGTCAGTGTTTCTAGCACCACACAATTAATCCTAATCCTGCTTGCACGCTACAAACATCAAACAGTTAGCACCGAAAATACATCCCTCGGACAAACAACCCCAATTCATACTAGTAACCTGCGTCCCACACAACAAAGGTCCAACTTTGGATATAAACCTCTTACTCACCTCCAACAAAAGGTCCGTCCTGAACTTTATCCACTAAGGCTGCTATCAGCAAGCCA